ATTTGGATTTCTTAGTGCCAATAAAATTGAGAACTACAACAGAGGGGTGAAAAAGGGGGGAAAAAAACTCCAAAAGAACCTACAGAACAAGTCAAAAAATAAGAATCATAAATGTTTTTCTTGAGTCACTGCTCTCAGAGTCCTTTCCCATACCGGGAGTCACAGCCCACCTCACCCCCTAGGATGCCCTCCAACACTGTGCTGATCTCTGGACCTGCTGTGGGGGCAGCTCAGAGTCTAATCTGGTCCTACTCTGCTGTGTTCTTGCCTCCAACGTCCACAGCTATCAGAGCTAGTGCATTTTCTCTTGTGGGCGCTCTCAATGGCCTTTTATATCTTCCACAGACACGGAGTCTGCTTAGTGGATCGTGTGGATTTAATCTGCAGCTCGAACATCTGGTAGGAAGGTTGTGGGTCTTCTTTCTTAGCCACACTGCCCCTGGGTTTCAATTGCAGTTTTATTTCCACCTCTGCGTGTGGGTCGTCCACTGGGGTTTGCTCCTGAGGCTGCCCTGGAGGACTGGGGTTTGCCCCGTGAGGGCCGGGTGTGGAGGTGGGGCAGCTGCTTGGGTCGCAGGGGTTCTGGCAGCACCAGGTGCTCGGGGCGGGGGGGGGGGGGGGGGGGGGTGGCGGCTAGGGTAGTAGGAAATACAGTGCTCTAAAAAGATATGGCAACCAGTGTTGGCCAATACGCTCCAGTATTCTTGCCTGGAGAACCTGCTCTCTGACAGAGAAGCCTGGCAGGCCACAGCCTACAGGGTCGCAAAGAGTCAGACAGGACCGAAGCGACCCTCTGAGCATAAACACAAGACCTTGTTTTGCCTCTGGGAGCCCTGCCCCCGTGAGAGCTGAGCGTGAAGGCGGCGCAGCTGCTTGGCTTGCGGGGACCCTGGCGGCGCCACGTGTGCAGGGACTCGGACCGCCTCCGCAGCAGGAGTTGTGGCCCGATCAGAGGCCTTTTCTGAGCCTCTTGTAGCTGGCGATCGGAGGCCTCTTTGGCCGGTCTTTCTCCGTAGCTCTGCCCGTTCAGGCACTTAGAGGGCTCCCTTGCCTGGGGTCGTTCTCTGTTGTTTGGCGCAACAGGCACTGAAGGTGGCACCCTGGGCGCGGTCCTACGCTGTAGTTGAGCGCGTCAGGCATCTGATGGGCCAGCCTCTCTGTTGTTCAGCTGCCCATGCTGGCACGTGGAGAGAGAGGCTATGGTGATGGCTCCATCCCCTGCGCCTGACTCAGCAGTGGCGCCTTGCTTCCATGGCTGCCTAGTTTTCCTCCACAGGCATTTCCCACCTCAATCCATCTCTCCACAGTCAACAGCAGCCCTCGTCCTGGGATTGCTCCACAATCCCTAAACTCCAGCTCCCAGCCGCTGCCCCTTCCAGGAGACCCGCATTCCTGCCTGGGGTATGTACGGCTGAGGCAAGGACTGTCTTGATTCTCATTCCATTTAGGCTGCCCCAGATCAGCTGTTCCACTCTCAGCCTTACATGTTTCTCCTCTGACTCAGACAGTTACCCTGCTGTGGGGATTGGACCCCTGCTCAGTTCCCTCACCTGCCAAGGATAGGTCCAGTCCTACTAACACTCCTGTTTTCCCCCCTAGTTCCTTTGTCCTACTGAGTTTTGCGTGGTTCTATATATTCTTTTCCACTGGTCAGCTACTCCTGTTCGCTCTCTGCTGGTGTTCTGCATGCACTTCTGTGCCTGAAGGTGTTTTCCTAATGTATCCATGGAGAGAGATGGACTCCACGTCCACCTACTCCTCTGCCATCGTGTTCTCCCTCTAAACTTTCTGTTTTGTATTGGGGTATACCTCTGTCCATGGGATTCTCTAGGCAAGAATACTGTAGTGGGTTGCTATGCCTTCCTCCAGGGGATCTTCCTAAGCCAGGGATTGCAGGTGGCTTCATTACCATCTGAGACACTAGGGAAGCCCAGAAATACTGGAGTGTGTAGCCAATCCCTTCTCCAGGGGATCTTTCCAACCCAGGAATCAAACCAGGGTCTCCTGCACTGAAGGCAGATTCTTTACCAGCTGATCTACCAGGGAAGCCCTACTGTGAATATTCTTGTACATGTTTTTCTTTCTTCTTCTTCCTTTTTTATTTTTATATTTTTACTGTTTGAACTGTTTGTTTTATATTGAGGTACAGCCAATTAACCATGTTGTGATAATGTCAGGTGAACAATGAAAGTACTCTCTCGTACATAGTCAGGTATCCATTCTCCCCCAAACTCCCCTCCCATCCAGATTGCTGCATAACGTTGAGCAGAGTTCCATGTGCTCTGTAGTAGGTCCTTGTTGATTATCCATTCTAAGTACAGCAGTGTGTACCTGTCCATCCCAATCTCTCTATATCCCTTCCCACCATCCTTCCCTCTGGCAACCATAAGCTTGTTCTTTAAGTCTGTGTGTCTGTTTCCTGTCTTGTAAGTTCATTTGTATCATTTCTTTTTAGATTCTACATATAAGGGATGTCATGCAATATTTCTTCTTATTTTGATGAACATAGATATACAGTTTTTCTTGGACATAAAACCTGGAGCAAAATTTTGGGCCACAGAGTTGGTGTCGTCTCAATATTAGAAGACTCTGACACATAATTTTCAAAGTAGGTTGTTACTTTGAAGAGAGGTGAAGGATAGGAAAGTTGTAGCCTGCTATCATCATGTGTTGACCATTTCTGTATCCTTTTTTTCCTATTTATGCATGCTAAGTTGCTTAAGTCATATCTGGCTTTGTGTGATCTTATGGACCATAACCTGCCAGGCTCCTCTCTGTCATGGGATTCTCCAGGCAAGAATACTGGAGTGGGTTGCCATGCTCTCCTCCAGGGGATTTTCCCCATTTTCCTTTTATACCACATTCAAATTAAAACTTGAACAGAGAGAAGTAGAAGATTCAAAGTTTCATTTTATTTTGCTATTAAGAAATGACTTCAGGTTTGCATTTCTGGAATCAATTCTGTGTTCCTAATTAAGTTTAAGAAGTATTTTCCAATTACTCAATTATTTTTCTGTTCCATATATATGATCTTACATTTCTAACTGCATATTTTTTATTAAAGTCATCTTATCTCACATTTTAGGAATTAGGAATTTTTGTGTATTTTGCTTGAATGAAATTTTGAAGAAAATTACTAATTTGTAGTGCAATAGGCAAGGGCTTTCTAGTCAGGCATGAACAGATTCTAATGTTGCCTCGTTTGATAGCTGCATGATCTTTGGTCACAAGATTGTTTTCTGTAAAATTATACTACTTGGGATTGCTTTGAAGATTCAGTGAAATCTTAAACACTTATGTAGTGTTTGCTCTATGGTAATCATTGATTCTAAGTGCTTTGTTATGAGACAATTTGCTGTCTATTAACAGTTCTACGCACTAGTTCCATCATCATCTCTTCTTTTAGAGATGAAGAAACTCAGACTGAAGATTTAAGCAACTGCCCAATTTGCCTGGGATGACAAGTGGCAGAGCCAGAAAGTAAACACAGTTTAACTCTGGAGTCCATGCTCATACCGCTGTTCTCCTCCACATACAGGACATCTAATTTTGTTGTTGACACCCATTAAGTCTTTGGATATTGATAAATACTTATTATCCTTGTGCTTAGCATAACTCACCAGGATTTAAACATATTCAGAATATAATTTCACAGTAAGTTGGCTGTTCTGTAACCATACCATCAAACTAGTTGAAAAAATAAGAGAAATATTTCCAACTAATATGATGTAAAATGAAATATTTCCAATTCTTCCTGAATATAAATTTGTCCAATCACTGTGGTATCTTCTGAGTCCTAATGCCTCATATTTGGAGGAATTATTACCATACCACGACTTCTTACTAATTTAGAATAGGTAGTATGCTGATAGTATAGTCTCCTGACATTCATGCGTCAAGACTTTTGATGAGGTATGAATTGCAAGCTGTGCAAAGGTCATATTCAAGGGAGTTTAATTTGTGAATGGCTGTGCTGAGAGCACATGGTGTAAAGTTTGAAAGGGAGAAAAATAAGTGTTCATTATGTTAAGTGTTTTGGTTTCCTAAAGGCAGAGGTTGGAGGATGTCAGCTATCAGGTGCTCCCCCTTTCATTTCATTCACCAAATCAACAAGGAAGAGATTCTCTTGGAGACAAAGGTCTCAGTTAGGTCACTCACAACTGAAGAGAGAGAGATGATATCAAGGCTGGGGCACAATTGAGGGGACTGGTCTGAGACACAGCTGATGGAAGGTGCCAAATGGAAAGAACATGTTGTTAAATTATATTCCACATTTTATGACCAAAATTATTTGCTACAGTGTTATTCACTGCCTAAGGGATTTTTGTGATTCGGGAGAGCTATCTTTCAAAAATGTCAAGTGTTTTCTGAAAAAGGACGTAGAGAAAAACACATAGAAAATTCTACTTTGTTCTTTTTATTGCAAGTAAAATGCTGCAATTTGCAAGTGAATAAGTATTTTGGGTTTTTAACATGGTAAGTTATTATTAAACTTAAAACTATTAAAAATTATGATAAGGAATTCAGATGTCTGAATTAACAGAGACAAATTTAATACAGTTTTCCCAATGCTAACCTTATAGCTTTTTATCAACATAGAGGACTGATTATTTTGGAACCATGTGCAAATCTTTGAGAATTCAGTACTTGATGCAGGATCTACATATATGTAGGCCCTAAAAGAAGCAACTACTAAATAAAAAGGCAAAATCATATTCAAATCATATAAAATTTTGATATCAATATCAAAGAAATTTTGCCAGTGTGAATTTATGTGAAAGGGCATAAATTCAAATTTTTACTTGAATATTTGAAGTATTCATACTCTACATTCTTAGACAAATCACATATACTCACTCACACACACTCACACGAATTAAGTACCCAAATACATACATAAAAGTACAGATACCTTCCAAGATTTTCTCTGTCTTGTAAGAACTGTGTGATTTTTCCTTTCTTTGCCAGGTGGTATTTTTGAATATGTGGAATCCGGCCCAATGGGAGCTGAGGAACTTGCATTCAGATTTGCTGTGAACACAATCAACAGAAATAGAACCTTGCTGCCCAATACCACCCTAACCTATGACACCCAGAAGATAAACCTCTATGACAGTTTTGAAGCATCCAAGAAAGGTAATTGATAGACATTTAATAGTGTGTTTTCTGAAATTCAAATTTTTAGCTATTCTTAAGAGATTTCTTAATCCACAAAGTAATTAATGTCACTAGAGATATTTTCATGCAAATATCTCTTTTTGAGCTGCACATACATTCTTTTTTCAGGAAAGGTAAAGTGATATGGTTACCTGCTGAAAAAATTTGCTTATAACATGAATTGTAGTTAAGTCTGGGATAGTGAAGTTGTTTTCTTTCCCCCTATTAATCCTTTTGTTTTACTACTAAACTATTCCTATTTTAAGAACCTACTAAAATAAAACAATACCATCAGTGAATTTTACCAAGTTTTACAATCCAATTTTACATTTTTATTTGCATTATCTGTCAATTCTACTTTACTACTGTGGTCTTAATTTACTGAGTATCTTGAAAGTTCTATGGTTCCAAGTGACTTAAAAACAGCAGCCCAATTTTAAAGCTTAATTGGAAAATTTGATTAATCTTTCATTTATGTTGCCTATTTTTTAGCTACTTGATATTTCTTTTTGTAACTGAGAATAAATGGCTAATGATATAAAAATTGGATTACATGAAGAAATAATAAAAATATCTTATGAATTTTATTTATTATTTTATAAAGCTGTATTTTCAGTATAAGAGTAGATATATAATTTTCTGAGATATGTTTAATACATATATGAAAGAAAGTAATAGAGAAACTACTGTCAAGGCATTATTTTAACCAAACAACAGTTTTAGCAATAAATATATTTTGAGAGATGTTTTCATTGGCTTACTTTGTCTAAGTAGGTGATCTTTTCTTTTGCATAGTTAGCATTCATGAAATTAAATTCCATAAGGTAGATTTTCTCAAAGGAGTGGACTTAGAAAGCATTTGTTCTAAATTCTTATTTTTAAGACAGTGCTTGCTATTCTGTAATGCTAATATTGTTTTATTAGCTACCTGACATCTATAGAAATGTACATAATTACTTATAATTCTAAATCAGTACAGAGTTCTTCTAAATTCATTAATATTAATGGCAGTTGATAAGATATAATATTTCTTAAGATGAAAGTATCTTTCTTTTCCCCCAGCTAACTAGTGTTTATCAAAGCCTATGTTCTGCCTGCCCTTTGAATTCATATCTTTATGAATAAAAATAAGCTTTCACATTTCAGAACCATGTCAGGGTGATAAAAGGTTTTGAAGGCTGAAAAGGGGGGTAAAGGTTATTGTGAAATATGACATGTGTCATCATAATTGCAAAATAAGTCATTAGCTGCAAGACAAGAGCATTTGATTAGTGACATCGTTCATGATTATTTCCATTAGGAAGAAGAAGCTCTGTCTTAAATGAAATAATTTAGACCAAAGAATATGGAATATGAGTACAGTATAAATAAAATATAAATAGATTTCCTAATGGTGCCTTCAAAGTAGCAACATAAAATAAAAATGTAGACTAGAATGTTCTGATAACAAACATCTTACTACCTTGGGACTATCTTAGCAAAATTATGAGGTGGTAAACTCATTTGGTTTTTAGAATATTAAAAAGGACTTACAAATTTTTCACTCATTAAAAATCCATTGGGAATCTAATTCCTGAAGTGACTTTTGCCTGAAGCTGAAAAATGCTCAAGTAAGTGTATGAATAATATTCTTTGTGAGATATTGTAGTGGTGGATGTCATCGTTTGGATCTTGTCTTGTGAAGCACTTGCTTGTTGACCAGTGACTGCTTGGGTGGCAGAGAAATATGTAAAGGGATAATATGAAGTCAAAGTCGCTCAGTCGTGTCTGGAGTTCTCCAGGCCAAAATACTGAAGTGGGTAGCCCGTTCCCTTCTCCAGGGGATCTTCCCAACACTTTGCAGGCAGATTCTTTACCATTTCAGCCACCAGGGAAGCCCAAGAATACTGGAGTGGGTAGCCAATCCCTTCTTCAGCAGATCTGCCCAACCCAGGAATCGAACCGGGGTCTCCTGCACTGCAGGTGGATTCTTTACCAGCTGAGCTACTAGGGAAGCCCACTAATATAAAGGAGAGATCTAATATAGTTTAGAATCTTATGAGGCCTCAATAATATATGTGATACTGATATGATTCATTATAAAATACCAATTCATTTGGACATTGTTAAACTTTTTTAAATTGATTTTTCCAAGGCAAGAATGTAAGTTCAATGTTTAAATTTTCACTGATATATGACCTTATATTTTTAATAGATAATACTGTTTTGCTCAATAAACTCTGATGCGTTAGAATTTGAATTATTATTTGAATCATATATTGCTTTTAAATGACTCCTCTGATACCCCAACACTCTATTTTTTCTTTGAAACACACTTCAGAAGCTCTGTATAAGCTAATATAATGTTTTTAACTTTTCTTGATTTGTGACTTGTCAAAAATCTAGAGAAGGAAGATCTTTTATTTTCAATGTATGTGAATTAAAATTTATGTGAGTGAAAACCTTGAGGCTCCAAACTTTCTACTGATTCAGAATTCCAATTATTACTTTAAAAGTAAGAATCTATATGTGTTCAAAAACTATATATTTATATCAAATTGCATTTTTGAGAAAAGATTAAACCAATGTGTTTTTTTCTAACTAAAATTTATTTATTAAATATCTCTGTGCTTAAGAATCCATCCATCAAATTGCATTTTATGTGGCAAAATCTCTGAAGGAAAAATCAGTAAATTTTGCACAGTAGAATGATAAACTAGTTTGAAAGGATTAAGACTGAAAATCTAATTGATCCCTAAATCCCAGTTAGAGTAGTTATCTATTAAATATTTTAGTCATCCTTATATATTTTCAGGGATAGACAGACTGTTGCCTCTTGGAACAGACTTCCACATGTGAACATTTCTTCTCTTAAGTTGTGTCAGAATTCATGAGAAACTTCTATACATTTGCCCTAATTCTTCCTTTTCCAGTCAAAAGAAACAAATTTTAGCCTGTTTCACAGATCATATTCTTCATGTATTTAAAGATGAGTTTCATGTTTCCAGTAATTATTGACTTTCTTGACCCAAACTTACCACTTGCTTTAGTATACCTTACACAATTTAACGTTCTGTCACAGTTTTGCTATTCCTGTCTGAATACCTTCTAATTTGTTTATGTGTCTCTTAATTACTGTAATTATTATTTATGTGAATAAAATTTTCTAGACATAAACTTAAAACTAATTTAGTGCATCATAAAAGTCTTACAGTATCCAAAAGCCAAATAAATAAAGATGATTAAATATTTCTGTATTTAATTAAATACTTTGATTATCTTCCTACTCAATGAGATTAATCCCTATGAAATCACCGTCTGTGACTCATGTCAGGTTTTGTATGGGCATTTGTATGCACAGCTTGACCTGTATCATCAGATATTGCAGATACTAAACTATGTGCCCAACCATAGCTTTTTAGATGGGCCATGAAAAATAGATGGCTTCTGATTCAGAATTTGAAATTGTAGAGGATGACCAGTGAATTTGGGAAGGAACATTATTCCCCTGATTTGAAGTATTTCCCTGAAGTGTCCCCTGGATATGAAGTATTTTTGCAAAATGAATATTCACCCCTTAAATTCTAAAATATTCTCCCTCTTTCTCCTTCCTCCTCTCCTCCCTTGACATTATTTGCAAAGTTACTATATTTGGACATTAGGCTGCAGGTGTCTAGGTGAATTTCCCTTCTAACAAACTGAGAATATTTGGAGTTGGGCAACATGTAAAATCAGCTAGTTGTAGATGTTATATTGAGGGCAAGCACATCGTCCTTCAGGATGACGCCTTTGGGACAACGATAATGTGGCACTGTTGGCACGCTGGCATCTCCTCTCATTACTGACAGACTTCTGTCTCCTCTGCAGCCTGTGATCAGCTGTCTCTTGGGGTGGCTGCCATCTTCGGGCCTTCACACAGCTCTTCGGCAAATGCAGTTCAGTCTATCTGCAATGCTCTGGGGGTTCCCCACATCCAGACCCGCTGGAAGCACCAGGTGTCAGACAACAAAGATTCCTTCTATGTCAGTCTCTACCCAGACTTCTCTTCACTCAGCCGTGCCATTTTGGACTTGGTGCAGTTCTTCAAGTGGAAAACTGTCACAGTTGTCTATGATGACAGCACTGGTAAGAAAAAATCAGTAGCCTTTGGCCCTATGCTTTAAATATAGATAATTTTCTGAAACTCATTTGAGATTCTTGCTGTGTTATTATTTTTTTGTTGTTGTTGTTTTAAAATTAAGGGATAGAAAAAGATTTGTAATCAAACACTAATTTCATATATCCAAATAAAGAACAACTGAATCATACATTTTTTTTCCCTGTGTATGTGTAAAATAATCACTTTTGTTCTGGGAATGATCAGTTACTGTGAACTATAGTGTTGGATGAAGGATAGAGATAGTATGAAATATCATATTGAAACATTTATTCAAGCTTTTTTTTTTTCCTACCAGTTTCAGTGTATTTTCCCAAAGTAAAGCCTTATAATGAGCTGTCACTGAAACTTATCAAGAAATATAGAGAAATAAAGAAATTCAGAATTTTGCCTTAACATTTTCTGTAATTATTTGTGTGCAAAGAATGTGTATGAAAAATAATAACCTTTCTATCTGTATAGCATGTTAAAATATCCATTGAAATTCTTAGAGTTTTGGGAACTGTTTATATGCATACATAGGGCTTACTACATGGTATTTATTTTTGTCTCTTTAAATGACTTTAAAACCTTTGCTGGCTAGAGGTTGTCTCTGCTTTTTTATTGTAATGCATGTTATTTTATATATGAATGGTTATCTTGAAATATCAAATATCAAATAAGTCTCAGAAATACAGAGAAAGTAAAAAGTAAAAAAAAGTAATAATTTCCTTGGAAGTTATATTGGTGAAGAAACTGCATACTATTTTGATTATTACCTTGTGAAAAGAAATTTCACATTAAGATGTTTATCGCTGGTCTAAATAGTGCTCTTTAAATTAGAGTTTAAAAATATTTTATTCGAGGACATTTCACTATGCCTTTATGTTTACATCAAAAATGAAATTCATTTGAATTTAAATTCTCTACAAATACACCTGAAGCACACTCTATGAATGCAGTATTTAGAACTATGTGCAGAAATGAATCCATTTGCCAATAAAGTTGACCATCTGCAAAATGACAGATAGGAGCTCTCCCAAGAGAACAGAGAAACAGGGAGTTACAGGGTTGGAGAAACAATGTAAATAATTTGAAGTCTTTTAAAAAATGGGATAAGAAAGAGTAAGTCTAAATATACATTAATAGTGTGATTTTGCGAGGTTTTCCCAGGTGGCACAGTGGTAAAGAATATGCCGACCAGTGCAGGAGGCACAAGAGACAAGAGGCACATGTGATCCCTGGGTCAGGAAGATTCCCTGGAGTAGGAAATGGAAACTCATTCTAATATTCTTGCCTGGAAAATTCCATAGACAGAGGGTCCTGGCAGCTACAGTCCACTGGGCCACAAAGAGGCAGACACAAGTTAGCACATGCACACACATACACCCAGGTGTAATTTTGCATTTGTTATTTAAAAAAGTAAAATTTTTATTTAAAACTTAACTTTAGAAAGAACATTTAAATTCCTAAAATAACCTAAGTACCTTTGATTTGTTTTTTAGCTTAAAATAGAGTTACTAAATTTATTGCATTGTTCTATTCCAAATCATTATTTTCTGTCATTGATTAAGTTATATATGTCAACTTATGAATGGCAGGTTCTGTGTGAATGGTTTCTCTGAGCATGTATAACATGATGTTCCAGGGCTAGCTCACTGGCAAATTGGTCCACTTATGTTTGCATGTGTGCTGAGTCACTTCAGTCGTGTCCAACTCGGTGCAACCCTGTCGACCGTAGCTTGCCAAGCTTCTCCATCCGTGGGATTCACCAGCAAAACTAGGCAGGCCTTTACCACTAGTGCTACCTGGAAAGCTCCACTTATGTTTATGAATGGTCATATATAGAAATATACAAAATATGAATATAAATTCATTGTGAATCTATTGTTTATTTACTTCTCCTTTCCTTCCTGTTATAATGCAGGAAGGGCATTTTATTCTGACTTAATGTTATATATCCTCATATGTACATGCACATACACATGGTACATACACACATATATAATACATATATATGTATGTTAGATGTGATATTTTACACTTATTTATTATCTTAAAGTCCCTCCTAGTAGAAAGAAAGTTGGCAACTGTCTGAAATGTTTATGATATAACACCTTTCCTTACTATTCTGTTTGTATGCATATGGGTTTGACATTTTTATTTCATGTATGTGGTTCTTGAGTGATTGAATAAAGGGATAATAAGATTTGTAATCAAGGTCACATCATAGTTTGGCAAAGCAGTGTTTCATATATAATTGATCTTTTGCTTGAGTATTATTCTAAATATTTACTTCATTGAGACAAATTTAAACAGATATATATATATATATAGATAGATAGATAGATAGATAGATATAGTTAGTTAGTTAGTTAGTTAATTAGATATATAGACTTTTAATGGAAACTTGACCTGAGATTAAACTTATTAAAAAAGTTTAAGTTACTATTTAAAAGAAACTTTACCACAGCTAACACTTGAAGTTGACATCAATACTTAGATATTCCGAAAGTCTGATTATTTCAATATGAATGCTGAAAGTCATTACAGGATTATTCATAGAATCAGTTCAGTTCAGTAGCTCAGTCATGTCCGACTCTTTGAGATCCCATGAATCGCAGCACGCCAGGCCTCCCTGTCCATCACCAACTCCCAGAGTTTACTCAAACTCATGTCCATTGAGTCGGTGATGTCATCCAGCCATCTCATCTGTCGTCCCCTTCTCCTCCTGCCCCCAATCCCTCCCAGCATCAGGGTCTTTTCCAGTGAGTCAGCTCTTCGCATGAGGTGGCCAAAGTGTTGGAGTTTCCCATAGGTATCCTTAAAAATCCCCCGAGGGGAGAAAAAGCATGTTAATGCTTCATTTTATGCAATATTTAATATGACAAATTTTGATGAAGCATCTGCTACGTGCCAGGGACAGTGCCAGGTGTGAGTATCTGCCAGTAAAGGAAACAAACTCCTGGCCCTTCTTGAGTTTCTAGTTTCTAATTAAGGACATGAAATTACTCATGTTTTTAGTATTATTTATAGTGAAATAATTGCCTCTGTAACCTCTGTATTATGTGTGCTCTTTGCTTTAATTTAACAGACTTTTGAGAACTTTGCTATTCATGATTTTTTTTTTTAGAGGCTAAAACTGACTCAAAGATACATAGAAGATTCTCTTTGAAAAGTGTTCATAAATATATAGAAGTAGGCTTTTTTGTTTGTTTGTTTGGGTATGTTTAAAAGTCTCAAGGTGGAATTTTAACTCAACAGAGAAACCCAACAGAGAAAATTTGTAAACTTACCAAGTGAGCAAGATGACTATTTGATCATGTAGCAGAAAATCTGATGACAGCTAGGACTGTGAACTGAAATGGGAGAACATCCACCTTATACCCAATGAGACAAACATTATTAACTTCATTATGGACTTATATATTTGCTGTTCATTGCAGCATGAAGTATGCATTTTATTTATGTTTCTTTTTTCCCTTTCCAGATTTATTATGTGTGCTCTTCCTCCCATTTATATTCATTTCTATTTTGTTGTGTTGTCCAGTTTGATACATGATAATTATACTTTCATCCAGTCTTTGTTCCCACCCCCAAAACAGATGGGATGATAGATGAAATATAGTGCTGGAGTAGGAAAAATTCTTAGAACGATGTTAACAGGAGCTGTTTATTTTTTATGATAATTAGCATTTGTTGTTGTCACAGATGAATGCTTTTAAACACCCTGAAAGTCTGTTATAGCTCTGAATGATGTCCAAAATGATGGAAAAGAATTGGCTTCAGAAACAAAGCTGTGTTTCTGTCAGTCATTTTGGAACATATGATTCATTTTAAATATAAACTAAAAATAAGTTGGATAGCTCTCAGCTTGTAAGCAATTCCAAGATAAGTTGTGAATATTTGCTTTAAAATTCCTGTGTTTCATCTTTGTTTATAGATCAGCAGTCCATTAACAAAGAACTCTGAACTGGTAAACAGAAGTCTGGGATTCTAGTCCCAGTTTTGTTACTAAATTACTGGTACAACTTTGGAAAAGAGAAGAGGGAAGTTGAAATGACTACAGAAAACAGCTATGATGCACTAGGCATTGAGGTAGCTGCTATTGTACATAAACTATGACACTTAATCTTCAGAGCAATTCTATAAAAACAACGCAATTCTAGGGATATAGGTTCTCAGTTCACTATCCTGGCTTCCTCAGGGAGTTGGCTCTTCTGCCCACCAGTAGCCCAAGGCAGAAACCTGAGCATCTGCCTTGATTCCAACCTTTCTTCAGCCCCACAAACAAGCTCTAATGGTTATTTAATTCTATACCTCTGAGAACTCTCAAATCTGTTCATTTCTTTCATGCTTTCTAACTAATTCTTAAGTCAAAATATTTCATCTGGATTATTGCTAACAGTCTCCTAACTGACGTTCCTGCTAATCCAGTAAAAAGTAATTTTTAAAAATGCATTCTGACCCATTATCCTATTAATTGGTCTAAGGATAAAGTCAAGCTTTTTTGAAAGTCTTATAAGACCTGATGCGATCTAGTTCCTATACCTCTCCAATGTTTCAGTGTAAACTTGAGTCTAAATCCGTCACTTATGTCTTTCAAATTAAGCCATTAAATTTCTTTTGATTTCTGAAAAGTCCTGTCCTGTCCACGTATTTCTCTCATTCTGACTCCTGCCTCTCCTCCCCAGTAAACACCCACACACATGCACTTGGGTATTTGCACCCACACATTCATTTGTACCATTTGACTTAGATGTCACAAAGAAAGGCTGTCCTTATCCCAACTACCAAGCAGGAATAGATTTCCCTCAACACATTCCCATAGCATGTGGTTCTCCTGTGACCCTCTCCCAAGAGAACATCAGTTCAGTTCAGTTCAGTTGCTCAGTCATGTCCGACTCTTTGCGACCCCATGAACCGCAGCACGCCAGGCCTCCCTGTCCATCACCAGCTCCCGGAATCCACCCAAACCCATGTTCATTGA